TGAATTTGAAAGGGGGCTTTACCTGAGTTATGCATGTCCTACGACCGCTCCTATCCAGAGGGACTTCCGTAGTCAGTTCACTAACGTCGTTCTCCGCACGGGTGAGCACTAGATCTAAAGTGGACAATCTCTGCCCATATCTGAATCGAGTTAGTTGTCGAACATGTTGATAAAGTGCCTGCTCGTGGAAAAACCTTAGGAACTCCTCTTCAGAGGGACTGTCTCTGGCGTCAGCTTATTCCGAATCTATTTCGGGTAGGCTAAAATTACCAACCTTGGTGGTCTTCGTCGTTTTCCTAAGTAATATGCTTAGTGTGTTTATCAGTTGTCTATTCTCTTCTGATCTAGTTGGGGGTGCTCTGTAGACTCTAAGGATGACGAATTGTTGTCCCCGGTTCCGAATAGTGCATACAACTGCTTGCACAGTGGGGTGCACAGTCTCAGTTCAGTAGTTTTCCACTGAGCGTATTGATTCTTTACGAGAATCATCACTCCGCCTCCTATTACCTACCTTCCGGTCTGTCCTACACACAGCAAAGCCTGGGGGAATGAGGTGATCTATGATGTGTCTTGGTGACAAGCATGTTTCTGTTAAAATGATTACATCATAATCTGGGCATCTGGTTTTCAGTTGACCCCACTTATTTCCGACACTGCAGACGTTTGCGTACTACGTTTTCAAACTTCTTTGTCGCAGTGCTGGGGCCTCTACGTTTAGGCTGGTTCATTTATGATTTCCCTTGAGCGTAACACCCGACGGCCCGGCACGTTTTTCCCTGGGTATTTCTTTTCTGCGCGGTTCCCCACAGCTATTCCTTTTAGGCTGAGCTATCTTGTCGATGACTGTCTTCTCACAGTCCAATTCCGTTTCATCCATATCCGGTTGGACGCAGGCATCGTTGATTTACAACGCAGCTGCTACCCGCGGCTTTCTTATATCAACCCCTGATATATTATTTTCGTGGGTTTGCGTACTCTTCGATGTGAAGACAGGGGTCATAGTTATGTCCGTATCTGTGGCCGAAATCTCCCCTAGCGGTGTTGTTTTTCTCCTCCCGGCCGCTTTTTGTTAGTCTGCTTGTTCGCTCCTGGTTTACCCCGGTTACTGCAGGATAATAGTATTACAGGTAGCAGGCTTGGTTGTCGAAGCTGTTGTTTGAAGTTAATTTTCGGCGCTCTCGATTGTATTTTTCCATTTACCATGTGATGCTCTGGGTTGATGGACTGAACATTTTGAGGGCTGCCTATGTGTGGAGTGGATGCAACGACCTCCGCATAACACGGTGCTCGCTGCCCAACTTGTAATTTGTGAACCCTTATCAGGACTTCTGTTCAAACCAATGCTCTTTACGAGTACCCCTTTTCCTAGTTGTGGCTGATCCACTTTTAAACGAACGTCCACCAGGGGTCGATTAGTTATACGATTTAAGTTATCTGGTGCAATTCGATATCTACCCCCGTTAGCTCGTTCTACACTTTCACTACCACATAGCAGTACATGCCTAATATTGGGATATCCGAACTCAACTAGAATGGGCCTAGAATGGGCCCTGGCACCTGACGTGCATTCTTCTCTTTATCTGCCAGTTTTCAGTTCTTTTGCTCGTTTCAATTCAGACACTTAGTTCTCGAGGCTTGCAATCCTTTGCTCGATAGCTTCCGGTCGAGATAGGTATTCTGGTCTCGGTAGACGGTACTGCTAGGTTCGGTCGTTTTGTTAGTGCGCTTTCTACTTGTGTTCTCTGCCATGGCTACGCACAGGTAACATATCCACTGGAGCGCTGAATTACTCGACTATATTTCACAGGCTCTTCCGTCTAGATGGGCGCAGCTCGGGTGATACAATTAGCCACAACAGTCGCACTGTATGCCGCTGGAGACTGACTTTTTACATTTTTCCGCACTGCAGAATTCTCATTTGGACATTCCTTCACGCTTAATGTTAAGAAGAAAGTTCAAGGTTTACGATCGAGATCTTAAATTCCACAAAACTTGAGTTAATCTAAAGGATAACCACAAGATCAGACACGTGCGGACTTACCGAAATGTTTGTTTGAAAATCCTTTACAATCCGTTACGGCCTGTAAAAAATCAGGTAGATATGCACTCCGGTTTCGTTCTCGCGAGACTCGTTCTGAGAATTTTTTGCACCACATTACTATCGTCCTTCTCGAATCCAGTTTACCCTGTTTCCATTTGTACTTTTCCTTAATTCACCTTTGATTCTTGTTCTTTGCTATCCATCTTATTGTGTCACGATATCTCTGAGCCGACCAACGAGTTTATTCATCGAATGGATTGTTCCCCTCTTTTGCCAGTGACCCGTCACCTCCGCTGTTTAGTTGACTAAGCCCTCCCATCATCGATCGATTTATGACGCTTTCTTCCTCGTCCATGTGTATTCCGACGCGATCACTTGACCACCTGCATGTACTTTCGTGATTCCCTCACCAATGTGACCGGTTGGTCCCACGCATGACTAAATTATTGTACACACAGACACACACACACACACTGCATCAGAACCCACTCGTTTTCACCAATCCCATTGGTCGTCTCTTCTCTTCAATTTCATTAGTTCATTGTCGGCCATCCGACCCTTGTGCGTATGTCTTTCTACTTATTCATTGTGACCTTTGATCTCGATCGATCTGCAGTGTATGCAGTCGAGTTGAATGCCTTGACAGCCATTGAAGGCTACTTTCGACACAGCAAAACGCTGTTTTTCACTTGGTATGTTGTAATGTAATCGCCCATCTTGTACTTAAGACGCAATATCCTTCGATTGTGCCCTGGCAGTGCAAGCTCACACTCACCGAATTGCC